GCAGGTCCACTATTTCTGACTTGTTGGAGTATAGACCTTGATTCCACTTTGAAAGTCACGTATGGGAAGAACTGTTGTCCTGTCACACAGACTAAAAGAACAAACAAAGCACATTTGTTGCCCTCCTGCCCTATGTGGGGGAATCATCACTTACCAGAATTCGTACCAAAATTGTTTAACATGTGCCTCACGTGCTCCTGAGAAAATCATGTCAAGAGAATAGGAAGCTATGGAGGTGCTATGGAAGGTGCAGTGGCAATCGCCATCACACCTGTGGCAGCCTGTCAACAAAATGTATTTTTCCATTGTAAATCTGGACTTGACTTTCCCCTACTCCAGCTGGACATGATCAGTAACCAAGTGTATCTTCTTGCTCTTTTTCTCTATTAAAAACCTTCCAGAATTGGCAGTCAATGTGAATTAACAAAAACACAAAACGTAACAGGATATATGATAAAAATTATTAACTTTATTTTTGGCTTGTTAGTAATGTAGTTAATATTTATGCTAAAATATTTTTCTACATGCAGTTCCTCAATATATATTACTAGGCAATAGTCAAAGTAAAAGAATAACTTTACTTTTTCCCTCTGTAACAAACAGAACAACAAAAATGCCCAGATAAGATTGCTTTTGATTTTAACAACTTTGTTCTTGCAGAAAGGGGAAATACAATTATAGAGGGTGGGACACAGGTTATATATAGGACAGTTCTAATGCAGTGCAGATGAAAAAGAATGAGCACGTCTTAGAAAATACTGCAACAGATGAAGTCCTCAGTGAATCAGAAGACCAAAATGTCTGATGCAAGCAGTATCAGAAGAACACAAACACTTTTTTTTAATTACAAAGATCATTCTATTTAGAGGCAAGTAGCCCTTTTCCCACCCATTTGAAATTATTTCAGAGTCAGATTTGATCATCTTTTCCTCTTATGTTTCTAAATGAAAGACTACAAGAACAGAAAAAAGTGATGCATATTTGCAACTGTAATCTCATTCCCCTACCCCCTCACATATGTTAAATATGTGGTGATATAAAACAGATGATTAAATAAGTAAATACTGCCATTATAGTGCACCTAACTGCAAACTGATAAACAAGGTGATTTAGAAAATAATATAAAATGTGCTTTTATAAAGTTTTATAAATTTGTATGTTTAAATCAATGAAGACATTTACAGCACATCGTTACAGAAATGGATTTGCACCATGTGATAGTCATTAAAAAAGACACAAGCAGCATTGAGCTGTTGCTAGCTTAAAAATAAAACTCTGCCTCTATGTTTGGGCTTTTTCTGCCATGGACACATGACTTATGCTGGACCACCAGAAGGTGCATCAGAGCAATACAAATTGATGTAGGGCTGTCTGTATTCTGCACCAGAAAATCCAGATGATGCAGCAAATCCAGCTCACGTTCTATAACCAGAATATATTGTGGAACTTGTCTAATGTTGCATATTCTAATCCATTTGGCAAGACTTACATTTACAAAGAATTTAGGATATTTCTTTTTGCAAAAGGCTGGGATAGCAGCTGAAGGGGATGAAAAGAAAGAGGAAGGGGATAGAGAGGAAGACCAGCTGACTTCTATTACGCCACAGAGCAAGGTTTATAGGATTAAAGAAATGAATAGCACAGGTTTTAAATAATCCATCAGATTTGCACAGGAAGAAAATAACAGTCATGAAGGGGGAGAAAGCACATGTTCTTTGTTTTTAGATGGTGCCTCTGCATAACCATAACCATAGAGAGGCATTGCGTTTTGCAGCCCCCAGTGTAGTACAGCCTTCCTCAACATGGTGACCTCCTGATTCACTGGGATTACAACTCCCATCCATGCTTGCTAGGAATCACTTGAGTTGTAGTCCACTGCATCTAGAGGGTACCAGGCTGGGGGAGGCTGCTGTAAGGAATAATAATCAAACAGGTAAGAAAGCTAGGCAAGGCACTGAAGCTCCATCCTTTGACCACATCATCACTCACCATGTTTTGCATAACCCAAATCCAGTAGACTGGAACCTACTTTATTCTTTTAAAGAAAAAAAAGGAAGGGAGTGAAATGAGGTCATTTGTTCTCAGCCCTCTATGAGGGGGGATGCTTCCATTTCAAACCCACAGATGTACCAAAGACACAAAGCCCTTGTTTGATAATGAAATAAAATAAAATAGAATGCTATTCTCTTCACGAAACTTGCACATTAAACTAAAGGCTTGCAGTAGATAATTGCTATGCTCCAGTAATTTTTTTCTTTGCACAAACTATTCAAACTATTTCAAAAATGCAAATACGCATTGTAAAGGGTGAGATGATGCCAGATTTGTAGAAGGGAAGACTATAGATACATGTTGTGTTAGCCCAAAGCTAAGTAGCTATGTAAGAGAATCCTTCAGAGGCGTCATTTCCTCCATGGGGGCAAATTTTACCTCGGCATATACCTCTCTTTCTACCTTTTTATGTCCTGGAGAGACTTAACATTGGATTAGGATTATTTCTCAAGTTTATTAAAACAATAATTGATCCAACTGTACCAAAGTAAGGCAAGCATAATGTGCTCACCTGGTCCGCTTCAGTAGATGACTTGTGGAATGCAGTGGTTAAAATGCAGTATTTCATGATAAAAGCAGGGAAACTAATCTACCCCACAGCTCTACAGTTTATGTTTGCACTGCAAATGTTATAGACACACAAAGATTTATCCTGGTGCTTCATAGCATAAATAGTTACATTGCCACAAATTTAGCAACCCTGAAACCTGGATGTAGTTCCCACTCTGCTGCTCTTTGCTACTTCCTATTCCCCTGCCCCACCCCATGCATGAGCTATAAAGTACAGCATGCCTTCATGCAAATCTTTTATCTGTACATGAAAGAGAATCGGAGAAAACTAACTTGCCAGATGAATTCCAGAGGGGTAGCCATGTTCATCTGTTACAGCAAACACACAAAGCAATCTTGTGGCACCTTATAAAATAAACACAGTCTGAATCTATATTCAGGAATCTGATAAACACTGTCTGAATATTCTTTAAGGTGCCACATGATATTTTGCCATGTTTGCCACATAAAAATTTGAACAAGAACACACATATGTAATATATATATTATTTTAAAATGAGGCAAAATGATTACTGGAGTAATAAATTGTCCGGACTGTTTGATATTAAGTGCTGGTTGGCTTCTACCCATATCAACCATGGTATGTATGTATGTACTATATCTCTGAAATAATGTCCATTTAAGCCCACACAGCCACAAACAAAGAGCATATGAACCTGTAATTTAGAGTATATATATGTGTTCTGAGCTGATCTTGACAAGGTTATTACTCCATACAGGAGAGCATGTGTGGACGTGTAAAATCTATCTGGCTTTTGCATTCTTATGTACCATACCCCACAGGTATTCCTGACCCAGTATTCTCCTTCTAAACATAAACGTCTGTATTCACCCCCTCAAACTGAAACATAAACAAATGTAGAATTTGAGGAGTTGGAAGGAGAAGAAATTGCCAAAGTGTGAGAAGCTTTTAATGAACAAATACTGAGGCTGTTAAGAGTCAATTGAGCCTGCTTAGATTGGGAAAAGGGAAACCCCACAGGAATCCATATAGTGCTATCAAGAGAAGATAGCATCAGGTCACTCCTAAGTTTCTGAGAAACACCCAGCTTGCCTCTTTCTGGTATTTTGAATCAGTTTAGTGACACGTGTTAGTTCCTTTTAAAATGGTGAAGCCCAGGATCTGAGGCAACCAATGATGCAGACCTCTTGGCAGCTGATGCAGGGGGAGTGTCTACCTTACCTGTCAGGAAGTAGCAGGTCCCACAGTCAGCACCACACATGTGCAAGCAGCCCTGTGATTGCCTCCCGCCTCCCAGTTTTTACAGGTGACTGGGAATTCCATTTGCCCTACAGCACACCACAGTGACAGCCCGTGGCCCAGCTGAGTGAATTGCCTCACCAGCTACTTTTGCCTGGAGGGCACCTTCCTTTACAAAGATGTAGCCTGCCTTGCACTCCCTTCCAGTTATATTGTAGGGCTGAGTACCTCTTAGTGGTTCAGAAAGGCTCCTTTAAGCTCTTTTTCTCTGGAAAGGCCTCCCCTCCTTTCTTCCTCACTTTAGCATTGACAGAAGAGGACAAGTACAGAATCTGCAGATTTGCTTAATGAACTGTATCTGTGGTAGATATTTGCTCTTCAGGATGGCGTTTGGGGACTTTGGGGGCTATGGGTGCAGACTTTTTCAAGCCTTGTATTTTTCCTTATACCTGCAGAGGCAGTCTTATTTAAGACCTAAAGTAATCTCTGGAATCCATGCAGAGGTTTTAACATCACAGCTCAACTGAACTAATATACTTAACCATGTCGCATCTTCTTCTTTTCTCTGTCCATCCCACCTACTAGATATGCCTCTTTCGAACTTACTCTCTTTCCAGCAGAGACAGGGATTTTCTGTTGCATGTTTGTATGGTCCAATCTTACAATGAACTGTCCCTAAATATTAACGCATTATTATAAGTATTCAATGTAAACAATTATCCGAGAAAGAGAGCTCAGCTCCATTGGTCAACATAATCATAAACAGTGATCTGCAAATGGAAATATGACTTGCACCAACAGAAATTTCTCAAACAAGATCCACAAGGCGGTTGGGATGCACATTCTGAATGCCATCATTGCAGCAATAGGATGTTTTGTTTATCATACACAGAATTATTGGCGCATTCTGACACTTCATAGCCTTTTTTCCAGTGCCAGCTGGTAAGAACAGCCATGTCCTCCTGAGTCGGCTACCCTACTGCCCCATCAACAGTACAATGATGGCTGCCTTGTGTCAGTTCAATGCTGGCCTTGGGTGCATGTAGATATCATGAGGGTTAATTGCAGGAATCATCAGTTTGGCATAAACTTTGAGCAAGATTCCTGTTGGTATCGGTGTTACTTCCTTAAGCTGTAAACAATCTGCTGTAGACAGAAGTACTTGATTGTTTTGTGTCTACTTTTTGCTCTCCTTGACATCTTTCCCTTTTTCTTCTTTTTCTGACTTTTCTTGTTCATATTTGTCTGGCTTTGTTACACTCTCATAGGAAGGAGGTGAGGTTGTGGAGGAGCTCCTCTCTGTCTTTTCCAGAGTCAAGTTCAAACTTGATTTGTCCATGATCATTTGATTTTTGACAGCAAAGTCCTCATCTTTCTCAAAGAGGAATGAAGCATTGCGTACTGGTTTCCTTAGCTGGTATTTTCTAAAGGCTCTCTGAATGATTTTAGCAGACTCCTCCTCAAGCTTCCGCCTTAGTGTTGTTGTAATTGGTTCATAGGAGACTTTGGAAGGATTGGCAGCCATAAACCGATTTTCCATTTGCACCCGGAGAGCATCCATTTCATCACTTTCACCCAACACACGTTTTGTGAAGGCAAACAAGATATCAAGGCAGTGAATTCTGTCACCACTTACCATAGGCAGGTCCATTGCAATAAGTTGAATATGGTTTGGTTTGGGTATTAAGAGAGGAGGCTCTAGTGAGGCAGCAAAATCAAAGAGTTGGCAATACTCTATAAACTGGGTTGCATCTGGATCAAATTTTTCCCAGACCTCATAGAACATTTCAAAATCATCTTCACCTAATGGCTCAGTGCTTTCCTCTGTAGCAACGCTAAAGTTCTCCAAAATGACAGCAATGTACATATTGACGACAACTAGAAATGATATGATGATGTAGCTGACAAAGAAGAAGATCCCAACCGAAGGATTGCCGCATTCTCCTTCGGTGGTACTTCCTGGGTGGACTTTTTTAGGATCACAGTCTGGTGGCTCACTGTTAAGAATGGGCAATAACAAGCCATTCCAGCCCGCAGAGGTGGTGATCATAAAGAGGCAGATCATGCTGTTGGCAAAAGTTTCAAAGTTGAACATGTCGTCAATCCCAGCTTCCTTTTTAACATAGGCAAATTGGGACATCCCGAATATGGCGTAGATGAACATGACCAGGAAGAGGAGGAGGCCAATGTTAAACAAGGCCGGGAGAGACATCATCAAGGCAAACAGCAGCGTGCGGATCCCTTTTGCGCCCTTGATGAGGCGCAGGACGCGACCTATCCTGGCAAGTCGGATCACTCGGAACAAGGTGGGTGACACAAAGTATTTTTCAATGATCTCCGCCAGGAACATACCTGTAAAAATTACAGCAAAATAAAATATCTTGTATATTGGTTTAACAACAACATCATTTTCCCCTCTCCCATTATAGCAAATCAGTGACTGCAGTGCAAAATGGAAATGGTGAATCACCATCCCTCTGGCTATTTTTAGCTGGGATTGTCTCCATCCAACACACATAAATTTGTGAGAGGAAATATATTGTGGCTGTTCTTTGAATGTGAGAAGGCAGGAACAGTATGGCAGAAGAGAACGGTGGCATGTTTGGCATGTTTAAAGCCCTTCCCATCACTAGAATAATTCATTTTGTCTGTGCATAGCACTTCTCTGACTCAGAGACTGTGAGAAGAGGGTGCTGCTCACTGGATACTCCAAGAGGCAGAGAGGATTGTTACCTGCAGGCCACTGCCCACCCTCCAAAATCTATTTTGGAGAGCTGCTGTGGAAAGCCTTCAGAGCAATGACTGAGGTCCAAGGTCCCCCCCCCCACCGCTTTTCTTTTTGGCAAAAATGACCTCGCCCTCTGCCAGTGGGGGCTCTCTGCTGACTCACAGCCCCTTCTGTGAGCAAAGGGAGCTGTGGAAGAACAAATATGTATCCAAGCCTTTGATAATAAAATTATGTTCCCCTTTTTAATATTCCCAAGCTGGTTTTTGGCAAGCAATTTAGTGACTGGCTTTCTGCTCTTTCTCTTCTGAAGCTTCCTAACACGGCTCACTGGTATAGCAGAGCATAAACAAAATAAAAGAAAGATTTACCTTTACAGGTATTGTGACCTGCAAAGCAAACCTTACCATTGTATTTCCCTTGAAACCAAAACAAACCCATGACCTGCCAGGCCTGAAAGCCAACTTAAAAGATAAATAAGCCCTACTCTTTATTGATTAAGTCACACCACAAACTTTTATTGCAGGCCAAATAATGGAAAATCAAACAGCTATGATTAAAGCTCTTCATCACCACCCTGCTCATATAGCTTAGTGCCTTTTGGTGGGCTGATGCTGCACTCTTCCCTCCATCTGCATCTCACACTGCAACAGCAGCCGCAAGGGCAATTTGAGTGTCTTCAGTGTATGCTACCAAGCAAATAGAATTGGAAATCCTGCATGAGCAAGGTTTCTATTCTTTGTAGATCCATAATCTGCAAAGAGGACAAGCCCTGTTGAAGAATTGGCTAATTCCACATTATCGTTTGTTTAGTAGGGGCCAAGGGGTACTGTGCTTATGTGCATGAGCCGTCAATCCCCCCACTTCCCCTCAGATACCAGTTATCTGATGTTGGCAAAGCCCAAAAATAAGCCAATCTTTTTCTTTATTTACATACTACCTTGAAGCCCAAATGTTTCTTACCTACAATGGAGAGTATGACAACCACAAAATCGAATATATTCCAACCAATAGTGAAATAATAATAGCGAAGTGAAATCAATTTCAGGAGGAATTCCGCAGTGAAAAGGACAATGAAAACCAAATTAATCCAGTACAAAGTGTTTTCCATAGAGGGGTCCTGGTCAGCTGTTTCTACCATCATGGTGATCATATTAAGACAGATGAGAATCATGATACCAATGTCGAATGCTTGCTTGGTCACAAAATCAAAAATAAGGCCTTGGAATTTATTCTGGAAGAACAAGACAGAAAAAAAAAAAGATTTCCTGGGGGTGAGAAGGATGTTACTTGGTAAGTTGCTTTTTTAAACTTTGCTGGAAGAGTGCAGTTCTTTATTTACAGTTGGTATTTTGTTTCAAATTGTAGTACAGGGACTGCACACTGAAATACAAAAATAAAAGCCACTCTTACTGCTGGCCTTGGTATTGGTTTCTGTGGTTTCTTGGAGCCCAGTTTTTTCATTGCATTGTAATATTTCTTCTGTTCTTCTGTCATGAAGATGTCTTGACCTCCTAAGTAAAGGATTAAAAAATCCAAATGATTGCAACCATTGCGTTAGACCCAGCAGTACAGTGTTAATGCATGCATAACCTCACTTTATTTCAACAGAATTTGCATGCTTGCAATTGTTCATTGGCATATTTAAACTTCAAATATAAAATGAAATCTACCAATTGTGTCATGCATCTTTCATCAAGTGTATCTAGTCTTCACAGAAAACACAGCTTTCCATATATCACATACTTTCTTTTAAAAGACAGTGAACATATCTGATATGTATCACTGTTTCATATAAAAACTTAACCTCAGAGTTGTGCAGGAGTACACTGAAGTTACTTATTCTTTACATTTCTGTTTATTTGCATCATTGCAAATTCCATTAGAGGAAAGTGGTAGCTTCCATGCAGAGCAAGCTATCTATTAAAATATAATCCTACTAGAAGGTGCTTCCTTGGAAAGAATTAGTCTTCCTCTAATAGGACTCCTTCAGTCAATGGAAAAAGGCTCCTTATATCTGAGCAAACTCCTTCCAGTGTGGAAGGGAAACCCTGGATCTAACTCTACATCTCTGAGTTTCTCAGGTGCTTCAATGAATAAGGCTGTCCTAGACATGACAGAACATTTGTAACTGCAAGGAGGCAACAAATTTATTTATTTATTTATTCATTCATTTAAAACTTTTCTAGACCATCCCATTACCGAAGTCTCGGGACGTTTTAACAATACAAAATGTAAAAAATTTAAAACACAGCATCCTAAAAATTCAACTAACAATAAAACCCCAATTAAAACATCAGGTCTTAAAACATTGGGAAAATAAAAAGGCTTTGGCCTGGCACTGAAAAGAATAAAGTGATGGTGCCAGGTGAACCTCTCTGGGGAACGAATTCCACAATTGGGGCACCACTGCAGAGAAGGCCCTTCAGGGAGTGTACCCAGAGAAGGGCCTCTGCCCCAGATCCTATGGGATGGGCAGGCACATATGGAAGGAGACTGTGTAAATTCTGGTAAGTTTGCAAATAGTATCTTGTAGAACAAGTATGGAGAATCTCTGGTCTGGCTGGCCAGTTCTGCTTTCCAAATCAGACCTGTCCAGCCTTGGATAGGGCCAATCCTTCTGCTGCTTAGATGGGAGATGGGAAGGAAGTAGAAGGAAAAGCAAAGCTGGCTTTTTCAGGAAGCTCCTTTGTTGCCCTCACTTCTTCCCTGTGTTCCCCATGCAGGGAATGCAAAGTGACCATGAAGCCAGTACGTCTGTGGGCTTCACTCTCCCAGGCTCCACATTCCTGGGGAAAGCCTGAGGAACTCTAGCCTGAGCTCTGGCCAGTGATCCAATGACATCACTGGACAGGGGCTCCACAGAAGAGCATGGATGATGCCTGCAAGAAGCTGCCAGGTTCAATCCCTGGCATCTTGAATGCTGGGAAGAAGTCCCATCTGAAACCCTGAAGAACCACAGCCCTCCGGTGCAAGGCAATGTCTTCTGTTCCTCCCTGGGAACATGAGAGTGGCCCATGGAGTTGCAGATGCCAGTTATGGGAATTGTAGTGCAACAAGGCTGGCAAAGGCTGGCAGATGGTTTTGCTTCCAAATATGAAGCAAAAGCCTGTCACATCTTGTCTTTGGTGTGGCAGTCCCTGATGCTTCAGAACACGGTGCTGGAGGGTGGCAAGGAAAAATCTCTTTGTCACTCCTTGGATAACACTCCTTGGATAACAGTGAAATCCGTTAAAAATGACAAAACATCTATAAATATGAATCAATCTCAGAGCATAATTCAAAGACTTTCATGCTTTAATGTACAGTTGAAGTTGCTAGGCCTTTATTAGATTCATATTCTGCCTTTTTCTTTTCTAAAAAACTAAAAGCAGCTGACATCATGTCCCTCCTCCTGTGCTCAATCTTATCCCCACAACAACAACTTTGTGAGGTAGGTTGGGCTGAGAGACTGTGACAGGCCCAGAGTCATCCAGTTGGCTCCACGGCTGAGCAGGGACTAGAATCCAGAGTTGCACTCTTAATCATTACACCACACTTGTTCTTATATATTCATTTTTAATACTGTGAAGGGCAGAGCTGCAAAAAGGGTGGGGATAACTATGCAGAGTTGAAATGATGAAATGCATCCTACAGATCTATGAAATGACTCAAGTTTTCAAATTACTCGAAAATGTTTGTTCAGAACCCCACACTTGAATGATAGTGAATGTTTACCCCTCCCCAAAGTTCACAAGCTCCTGAATGTGAGGCTTGCATTTGCAAAATAAGAAGTTTAAAAATGCACAACTTAAAAACATACACTTTAAAGTGTACATTTTAAAAAGTGAGTATTTAAAAACATGCACTTTTAAATATTTACATGTTCATAATATAAGGGAGACAATAGGCAGTTTATAATGAATACTTTAAAATGCACAATTTAAATCTTGTATTTTAAAGTTGTGCATTTTCACACTTAACTCAGTGGGGCAGGGGAGTGAGCACTTCCGACAATACCATTTTTTCTGTTCAAGTAAACTGGAAAAACAGTTCACAAACCAGAATGGGGGAGAACTGAACCAAGCTCTTAAGTAAAATTGGAAAATTTCGGTGCAAACACTCTTGGTTTTTCCATTCCTAGTGAATGCTTATGTATGGTCAGTAGCTCCATGTACTTATGGGGTGTTTGGATGTTTATCCATGTGCAAGGAGACACTGGATCAAAATAAATGTTGCACTGCAACTTTCCAGTCAGTTCTGTTTTAACAGGCTGAAATACAAACACAAATTGCTCTCGCTCACTCTCATACATATGCACTCATTCTGCATTATGTACAGTGAACAATTAGTACTATTTTATGCTTCAATATAGCTGCATATGAATTATTTCCAAGACTGTTTTAGAAGAAATGCTTCCAAAACCCATGGCATTAGGAAGCATGTTGTTCATTCTTGAATTATACATGTCTATGACTTGATAGCCATTTATCTAACATGCAGTTTACTACATCAGGTATAATAATCTGAACACTTATCTTCTTTTTTTGTTGGTTGAAATTATCAATGATGACACCAATAAAAAGATTCAAGGTGAAGAATGAACCGAAGATGATGAAGATGACGAAGTAGAGATACATATACTGGTTAGCCTCATATCTGGGCTGCTGATTCAACTATAAAACAAGGAGACATGGCAAACTATCAGTCAGGGTTTATGCTTTGACAAATTGAAATACAAGTGCTCCATGAAGGAGGATATATGTGAAGAGAAAGCAAAGTGAGAAATGCAGTCACAGAGGCCATCGGTAAGGTGCCTTGCTGCACCCGTTTCCTTCATGGCCAAGGCAGAAACAGACTTAAGGTGGGGAGCCCTCACTTCCTCCTGCTTGAACCTGAGCAGCAGGAGGTAGCACCTCCAGAACAGTCAAGAAAACCTAAACATAGGCACCAAATTTTAGAAAAGATGCCTAAATCCTAACATTTGCTGGGTTTATCATTTAATTTTTCAGTAGTACCATTGTTAATACCAACTGGGAAGGAAAAGCCATTGCCATTGTTGTTATATGGTAAATGCTCAGATGATCAAATTGAAGTTGTGTCCTCTTCAGGGGAGGTGGCAGGGTGGGGGTGGGGGAGCACTATTTACTTACACCTGTTGAATCCACAGCCGCATACATGATCTCCATCCATCCTTTAAAAGTGGCCTAGAAAGAGGCAACATGGGAAAAGTGGATAAAGATAACAAAAGGCTTTTTGTTGTTAGATGGCATAAGTTTAGTAAATTATAATAAATTAAAATGTTATGCAAATTTCCCATTCGGTGGAAGCACATTTTTGCATTGGATACAGATGGCAGTTCTAGTGCATGTCTGCAGTTGAGGTATCCCCAAATCCGCTTCCCTCCTCGCAGGGAGGGATGCACCACCTGCACGTATCATGCTCACAAGTCGAAGGAGCAGGGCTACACTGCTGCTGCCCCATCACCCACGCATTGAGCAGGCATCTGATGGCACTGGTGGCCTCACTTGCCTTCCTCTACAAGTGGGTAATCTGTGAACTGATCTATAATTCATTAAGAGCCTCCACTATTGAGCGGTATAAAAATGAACCGAATAAACATACTAGTTGGGCATGCTAATAGTACACTATGTACAGGAAGTTCTGCTCAACCACAAGGGCTTGAATGGGAGCTGACTAAGTGCCCTACATGCCCTTGGGTGAAATAGGCATCGGCTAACTAAACAACAACACTTTTGGTGAGCAATAGGAATTCCTTCCTACGGGTGCAGAATGGACCATGTGTTTCATAGTACACTGCTTCACTGCTGTTAAGTCTTATGATATCTGATTTGCATTATAGTGTAGTAAAATTATGGGCCTGCAGAGAATTTACTTGACTATCAAAACTGGTATCTGTTCCAATGTTCTTGCAGATATCACACACGTGGTTCTGAATTTTTGTTCGCTGCTTTCTAAGAATGCAATCCTATCCATGTTCAGGTGTATTCTCTATCTGAACATGGAAACAATTGTGCCCTAGTGAATATTTTTGTACAGAACTCTTGTGCATTTGTGTGTGTGTGTACTACACATGTGCACACACAAGGCCTGACAGAAGTCCCTTGCAATGAGGCCTGTATTGGAGAATATCTAGGAGATCGGTGCCCTATGAAATCAACATCCACCATATTGCAAATGAAGTTATGACTAACATCAAATTAGGGTTACTTACAACTTGAAGTAGAGAGAGGTACCCAGCTCCAACATTATCATAGTTTACTTTTACATTTCTCCATCTGGCAACATCTGACATAGTTTCACAAACAGATTTATTCTCAACCATGTCAGGTGAAAGCATTGCTCCATCAGTTTTATTAACACAGTGATAGAAAGTGCCAGCAAACAGATTGACACCCATGATGCTGAAAATTAGCCAGAATATCAGGCAAACAAGAAGCACGTTCATAATAGATGGTATGGCTCCAATCAGGGCATTCACAACCACCTAGAGAAAAAAATTTAAAAAGTGACCATTAAAAGGCTGTATAGCCATGTATACAACAAATAAGAAAGTAGTTAGGTAAATTAGGGTGCAGATATTTTAACAGATAATAGGTTATTGGCCAATTACAAAAAGTATAACTAACCAACTAATCAATTGTATCAATTTTAATTGATTAACATAGTAATCCATTTATTTTATTTATTTGTTCTCCACATTTCCTTTTAAATTTTTAATAAATTTTATTAAACTACCAAAACCAATACAATTAATATAATAACAATGAACATGATTAATCATTACTAATAAGCATAATTAAACAATACAACAAGACCAGTGCTCCCTCCATCAGGACCAACAAATTAAGTCACTTAAGGTAAGATCATTTATGCATCCAGGTTGCCCCACTTCCCTTCCAGAACTGCACTGACTCTTGTGATGGTTCACACCCCTTTCCTTTTATGAAAACATATTCAGTAAATGGTCTCCAAATATTTTAAAAATTGTTTTTACTTAGCAAATCTCTTTTGCATTTAATATTGCAAGTTAACATCATTAATAGCTATATTCCAGACTTCTTTAAACCAGCCAACTATGTGATATTCCTCTTTTGTTTTCCATTTCCTTGCTATTATCTTACTGCTGTTAATAAATTTATCATCAATTCTTTAGTATTTGTCCTATTCCATTCTCTAAATAATGATAATAATGCTCATCCATGGTCAGCTTCAATATTTAAATTCAATATTTTACTAATTTATTTGAAAACCATTTCCCAAAACTCATTTGTATATTTATATTCCCACCACATATGGAAATATGTTCCCACTTTCCAATTGCATCTCCAACAAACAGTGGAGTAAACCTTATTCATATAATTCAATTTAACAGGAGTTAAACATCATTTCCAAACAAGTATATAAAAATTCTCTTTAATTCTTATTGACATAAATTTTAAAATTCTCTTATCAAACATTATTCCATTCTTCAGTACCAGTATTTCCTGTTAAATCTATTTCCCAAGACTCTTTAAGAGGATCAAATCGATCATTTGACTTACCATTCCTCTCATCCACATATTATCTTGTTTTTCTTTCTGTAGAACAGTATCTTCAGATTTAGTATATTCTCTACATTTACCATTTTTCTTCAGCCGATCTTTAGTCCAACAATCTAACTGAAGTTTATTCTACCAGTTTACTTTATTCTGCCCCATGGTTGCTTGTATCATTTCTTTACTCTTCGTTTTCTCTAACCAATCCTTTAACCTAATAACATGTTTGCTCTTCAGTACTTCCCTCAAACTACTACTCAGATTCTCTGAGAATCTTTCTAATTCTTTAATTGGATATAACAGTGAAATTGATGGGATAAATATACGGTATCCCTAAATTTATTCCAAATTCTTTAAAAAAGCATTTACTATCTTTTTGATATTTTTTATCTTGTTGAAGAATAATATTTAATAAGGCTCCCTTTACATCTTGATATTCTAATTTACCCCATATTATCTTATCTGGTTGCAGTATAATATCTGGTATATGCC